GCTAGTGTCGTAGCCACGACGTCTCGGGACTAGCTGAATACCCGACACTTTCTCCCACGGCTTGCTCTCTCCCGCACCACATTGCAGGCTCTTATTCGTCTTAATAGTTGTTGGCAAGTTTCTGCATGACGAGGAACTTTTAGTGTCATCACTTCTCGTTACGATCTTTACCTCCTCTACACTCTATAGTCTACCCATTTGCAAACTATGACACTTTCCTCAAATTTGTCATTTGCATATGTAACTAGAAGAGTTCTACTACAATGCACCAAAACCTGGAGTTATTTGAGGTTATTTTACCAAAAAATATAATTGATTTTACCACCCGGCTTTAGATACCCCAAGAGCTGGGGTAACAAAGACCATCACTTTTTTTGAAATTACATAAAAACTATGAGAAGCAGGAGCCAGCAATTTATGATGAGTGAACCTAGAGTATAAACCTGTATTTAGCATGTTTCAATTTAAGTTTAATTTAGCTAGTAAAAAATGGCATCATTTAAAAAAAGTAGTCTAAGTTACCCCATTTTACGGTATTGAACATTAAACTGATTTGAACATTGGTATGTTCCTTCGTTATTGAATGAGGTGCCATGTGCCCATCACTCTCCATGGAGTGAGAGATTCGCTTTAATATTTAAACAGCTATCATTGGCAATAGCAACACCAGCTAAGCCATTATTAGTACATTCATAAACAATAATGCTTACATTACTTATCCTAACTTAACTAATCACTTGCCTGACGAGCAGTCTCTGACGCTCCCACGCGCAACCTGAGCCTCGTGAAGCACCTGGCTAATATATTAATTATCTTGAAGTACACGAGCCGAGTTGAGTTTTTGAAATTTACGAATTTATGATGTTATCTTGCATTTATTTGGCTTAGTTTTACTTGAAAAATAGATCTGGTGGTTAGTCGGATATTATTTACCTCGATTCTGGTTCGCATCATGATTGGAAATGTGTCGAGTGAACTGATTCACTTGAACTAAGTGTGTAGCCTGGCGACTGAAATAATTTTTCCTACAGCTGCCATGTAGCCATATTTTTGTGTCCGTGTTGAAGTGCAATCCGTAGTCCCGTAGTTCGGTCCTTATCGTCGCGAGTGTCTCAGCCACGTCGTCTCGGGACTAGCTGAACACCCGACACTTTCTCCCACGTCTTGCTCTCTCCCGCGCCACATTGCAGGCTCTTATTCGTCCTAATAGTTGTTTGCAAGTTTCCGCATGACGAGGAACTTTTAGTCTCATCTCTTCCCGTTACGATGTTTACCTCCTCTACACTCTCTATAGTCTCTCTTCCCTGTCCCTCTCTTGTCCCTCTCTCCTGCCCCTCTCCCATGTCACTATCCCTTGCATTTCTCCTGCCCCTCTCTCCTGCCCCTCTCTCCTGCCCCTCTCTCCTGCCCCTCTCTCCTGCCCCTCTCTCCTGCCCCTCTCTCCTGCCCCTCTCCCGTGTCACTATCCCTTGCCATTCTCCTGCCCCTCTCTCCGTCCTCCCTCTTCCCCACCCCTTTTGCCCCCTCTTCCCTACCCCTTTTTTGCCCCCTCTTCTGCCCCTCATCCAGCACCATACTCCGTGTAATTTATAGATAGCAATTTTATACGGGATTATTTTCCATCTGCGGAGAAAGTTTAGTTGAGAGCCTCAGTTGCGATTTATAAATGATATTCACGGTACAACATTGTCATTATTTGATCATAATGCTGTACTATCATAACTCATATAGGTAGCTGCTTCAGTATACATTTAAAGGCATAAGTACGTAACTGTTTTTGATAGTTCGGCTCCTGCTGTCCTTGCCTCCTAGAGTGCGTTAAAATGTTCTGTTTCAAATCTTCATCATAATTCACTCATTTTAGCGCATTTTCTCATTTAAGGAAAAAATGCACTATTGTGCTCGCCATGTCCGTCTGTCTCCGTCTGTCCGTCCGTCTGTCCGCGACCTCAAGTTTTCGACGAGAAAATGCGCTCTCTGTCACTCACTGCAGTGAGTACTGAGTTATATTTTTTTCCGTTTTCGTCAATTATCGTGCCTGCATGTTGGTCTGCGTCCTTTTATGTTGAGGTGTTGGATGATATGCTGTTGAGGTTGCGGACCTGTACGACGTACTGCAAGATCGAGGGTGATCTGCAAGATCGGGTGCAATACGTCGACGAAAGTCGGGTGTGCTGCTCTCTCGTGTGGTGCTGACGACGAAGGTCGGGTGTGCTGCTCTCTCTCGTGTGGTGCTGACGACGAAGGTTGGGTGTGCTGCTCTCTCTCGTGTGGTGCTGACGACGAAGGTCGGGTGTGCTGCTCTCTCTCGTGTGGTGCTGACAACCTCACTTTCCCCACTCCAACGCTCCCACACTTTCTACTTCTCTCTCTCTTCCTGCTGCTCCTTTCTCCCATCATCTACATGGAGCTTTTCTTTTTTCTCGATCACGAATAAGTCAACTCTGCACACAAGTTGATATTTTTAATTTGAAGACGTGTGATTTTGCTCAAATATTTTAGAATATGCTGCGAAATTTAATATTTATTTTAATATTTATTAATCACCCCATGCTATGCACACGGCACCATTCTGTTACGATTTTTGTTTTACTCCGCGCCCGACTTTAGCTCCTTGTATCTGCTATGCATCAGTCTATTTGTTGCTGCTTTATCAGGCTTTCTTTTTCTCGTATATCTATGCCTCTCATTTACTAAGCTTCTCTTGCATTTTATCTCTAGCTCAATATCGTTATTCTTGTTCTTATCCGTTCGTTTGTTTTTCCCGATGCATGTGGGCTCATTGTCCTACACGTTATTCGGCGACGTTCCGTCAGCTCATCGTTGTTCACTGTTGAAATTCGTGGCTTTTCGTGCGCCTGAATATATTTTCAAGGAATGTATTTTTTCGTTTCACAATCGCTAATTTCGATATGACTTTTATGCGAGAATTATTCTCAAGATTTCAAATTTTTGCTTAATTTGTCCGGCAACAAATGTGTAATTACTTGAAGATGGTGCAATCCAGATCCCCGAGTGCGCATTTAAAGGCAAACTTTAAATCAGTACCAAAATCGTCAAAATCTCGGGAGAATTAAATTTTAGAAATGAGATGAGTATGGTAATGAACCAACTTATGGTAATGAGCTATTAGGAGTGTATGGACATTGGACCATCATAGTGCGGTGGCAACCTATGCACCACATGGTAAATATAAGCTGTTCGGACATTTCTTTGCGAAGACGCACTATTTGGAACACGGATTGTGCGGATTCAGTCTATTCGGAACACTGATCGTATGTAACACGGACCGTACGTAACACGGACCGTACGTAACACGGACTGTACATAACACGGACTGTACGTAACACGGACCGTACGTAACACGGACCGTTTATAACACGGACTGTACCTTTACGTAACACGGACCGTACATAACACGGACTGTACGTAACACGGATCGTACATAACACGGACTGTACCTTTACGTAACACGGACTGTACATAACACGGACTGTACATAACACGGACTGTACGTAACACGGACTGTACGTAACACGGACTAAGGCACTAAGCAGACGCTAATTTCGAGAGGTCACAGACGTGAGGGCTGCGCGAACCGACAACCGCTGCTGCTGATGGCGCTGCGTTCCGTTGTATTCTATACGCTATATACCCTGGCACTGCGTAACACGCACCCCCGTGTACGTACACTTTCTCCCTCTACACGCTGCCACACACCTCGTGTACATGTCTGCACAAACCTGTCCTCCGCTCCTCCAGCACGCACACGCTTTCTATCTTTCTCTTTTCCCTTTCTGTGCTTTCAGTTTTTCCATCAGTATCGTCTTTCGTATTGCCATCTTAGTCGTGCATTTTCGTACATAGCTTGGTTGCAGTTGTAGCTTTAATCGTGCCCTGTTAGGATACACGCATTACTTATCTAATGGTTGCCATCCAGGCAACTTTGTTATATTCTAAGTAATAAGTTGAATCGAGTAAGAGTTGTCTGCGTATTGTAAACCTTTTTACATTTCACTCAACTATCAATAGAGCTATAGACTCGGGCCGAGTTTTTCTGCAATGCTTGCATGTTCCGAGTAACATTTTTTAGTGTAATTACTATTTTGTTTACCATTTAATATATACATCGGTGGAATATTAATTGATTATATTTATAAATAGGCATACCTCTAACAGTGGGATCTTATTTTGCACTGCAGTAGCAAGTCTTATATGTAGTGACTGCAATGATTAAAGTCGTGTTGTTGTTGTTGCTCAACGTGTGGCGCAACAGCTTCTCACGACACGTGTGTGCACGCAACACGTGTGTGCACGCAACACGTGTGTATGCACGCAACACGTGTGTATGCACGCAACACGTGTGAGCACGCAACACGTGTGTGCACGCAACTCTCTCCATGTGTGCGTGGTGGTTGCCAGCGTGTGCGCTCATGCCACTTTCTCCCGATCGTCTCTAGATTGTGGATCTGCCTTCCAATATCTTAAGTGTTATTCATGAGTGTATTGACATGCATGTCTTTGAAATGTCTTCTGTAAACTAACGGCAGTTATTTCGAGTTGAAGTAACAAGATTCAGGATGGTAATTCAGATTATTCTCCTATTATTCCAAGTAGTCTGATGCGAATTTTTGAATGGTGTATATACATGTAAACATCATGTACTCGTTTCTTGTAGTTCCTTCTAAGCATCGTAAGTAGCATCGGTGTAATAATATAGTGATTCATCGATGAAATTTATTAAGACATTGCGTTCAACTTTTCATCTGAAGCAACTTTTAAATTAGTATTTGAGGCTTGGTCAACTTAATTCAATTCAAAATTTTCAATGAAGCTTGCAATCAGTAAACGAGTCTTATAATACGCCACTCTGAATAGAACACATTTTCTTGTTTTTTTTTAGCTTGAAATGACCGTTATCGCGTTACAAAAAAATTCGATGAGTTTATTACAGTCTTTATTTCTGATTATATTCATGAGAGATTGTCTTGTTTCCGCAGTAAGTGGTTAAAGCTTCGGCTGTCTACGATGGAGGAAGAACAATTACTCAAGTGGAACAACCATGGATCGCACATGCTACACGCCTTCAAATTGCTGCGCCGATCTGTGAGTAGTTTTTATATTACAAACATCTTGCACTTCTCTCAATAACTCTTATTTCAATGGATAATAAAATACGAGCGAGATGAAGTAGTATCGAACCAGTCGCACCGATGGTACGGCATCACCTTTATATTGCAAATAGAAGTCGCGGCTTTGGAACAGCTTCGTTACTGCTTTAATTCTTGTTCCAGATGAAGAATAGTTTTTAGGAATGGAATATCGTCAATATAAATGATTTGATTCTTATAGAATCTATCAAATAATGAGTAGTCTGATAGGAATAATGAGTAGTCTCACCTGGATAAGCTGTCATGTTTCCCAAATCTGATCGAGTTTATATTGGCAGGATCGGTTTTCGGACGTGACGCTGTTCTCAGACGGGAAATTCTTCATGTCGCACAAGATCGTTTTGTCGGCATGCAGCGACTACTTCGACTCGATGCTCGGCTTCGTCACTACCGAGAAGCCCATCATCTTCCTTGACCTGAACCCCCTGTTTGTGAGTGCCTTGTTGGACTACATGTACATGGGCCAGGTCCAGATCAAGGCTTCGGACGTGTCTGGATTCCTGGACGCTGCCCAGAAGCTCAAAATCAAAGGACTTTGGATTGACCCTAAAAAAGATGAGGTGAACAACGCAGATGACGACTTCCAGCGCAAGCTCCAACTTGGCTTGGTACACTCAGAGTTCCTGTCAAATCAATTCGCGCCAAGACCGCCACACCCGCTGGTGAACAACAACGTCAAGACCTTCAACCGACGTACCAGCAGAAGTCCTCCTTGTAAACGCAAGAGATCCTCGCCTGTACTCAAAAATGCCGCTACCGTGGCAGCTACCATCACCACCGGCTGCGTTGACTCCACCACCACCGCCGACCACCCACCACCTCCGCCGTACCACGCCACCAACGCCGTCTTGTGCAGGTCCCCACCGCCTGCCTCCGACTTAACTGAAGACCGCAGGTCGGTTAATGAGGAGAGGAGCGCTGACGAAGCTAACACGTCTGACGTCAACCCTCTACCGCTCGTCAAAATAGAGATGGAAGAAGGCAGCGCTACCGAAGAGGAGGAAACAACCATCAACAGCTGCACCGCTGACAGTGGACATCAACTCAAGATGGAAGCTGAGGCCGAAATCAAGGTTCGTAAAGTAGATTTTGATTTTTTTTCCCGTTGAAGTACTATTTTGATCATGGGCTGACACCTAAACAAAACTTTTTATCGTTATTTAGTTACAGCAAATATGTCATTTCAGTCCTACTGTGTGTACTTTGTGTATTTCTCCACTTGTCTCAGTTGGTCATAAGAAATTAAATTTTGTACGTAGTAGGTAGATGGAGATATGGGGTGTAGGTGGAGGGAGGATTGGGGTGTAGGTAGATGTGACTTGGGTGAACTGTACGCCTCCCCTCTGCATGTGAATTCTCAAAATGAAGTCTGGACACAAGTTGCATGTTTACCTCGTAGACAACGTATAAGAACTTCGCGCACTATGATGGCTTTAATAAATCCATATCCGTCCCATAGTTTAATCAGCTCAAACTTTTCATTGTCTTTTTGGCGCGAAGTGGTAGGAAATTCATGCTTCATTACGGGTATCAATTATTCACCAGCTAGTTAGCTGCTTCATATTGCGATGTATATTATTCGTTATCTCTGCGTGTAGACTCGTACATATCCGATGCTTTTCAATTCCTGGGAATAATTCTTTGTCCTCACGAATTGTCAAGCTTGATTCGGCGTTATCAACCTCCTGTATTTTCTTTTCGTTTATACATCAAATAATTCCAAATTTCACTAATTTTTTGTCCATCCGCTCTCTGTAGGACCCTCTGGTCACCGACTCAGACGAAGGAGGAGCTACGGATGCTGCTCCAGGTTCTTCAACTGCCGCTGCGTGCACCGCGGTGAGTACCATATTTACTGTTCTACCTAATAAATCTCTTCTTTGTATTCATAATTAATGATGCCATCAGTGGGATGCAATCTTTGTGCTTCCCAGTGATCTTATCTCTCGTCAGCATGGAGTTTCCATGTTGATTGATATAAAGAGGAATGGTTCCCAAACTTAGGTATTTCTCTTGCCAAAAGGAGTAAAAATATCATGTTGTCATATTTTAATGGGCCGTAAATATTTATGCCTGAATTTAAATATTGAAAGATTTTCATTATATAATCACGAAATCACCCCAGAGCAATAGATGAATTACTTCTCTGGGCTCAAGGTTCTAAGGTAAATTGCCTTAGTTTGAGAACCACTTCTCTAGCGGGGTTTCCGTGGTACCTTCAAATCTTGTCGAACTTCTCGTTCTACAGGATATATTTTACGTGGCTGCGGCAAGAAAGGCTGTCGTGTTCGATCAAAACGTCCCTTATTTCATGCATTTAAGTTTGCACATTAAATAATTTTCAATTGTGAAATCGCAAGCTTCAAATTTGTTCATTGAAAGAATCCTCGAGCATTGTAGCTATGAGGAGGTCTTGATCAGATGCTCGAGTTTGTGTTTACATGGGAACAATTGCCCATACGCCTCCAATTACGTATGAATTACTTCAATTTAAATTCACTCATACAACTTCTGTTTTGTTGATTGTTTTAATCGAAAACGACAATTTACTTGCAAAAGCTGCCAAAAATAAGGGCATTATTTGTAGAATGTATACTCTAGAACGTTTACACTCGGGGTGTGATACCTTACGTTTTATTGTATGAAAAACTTCATCCAACATTACATTATGAGCAGCAGACAAACTATAATTTATTTGTAATAGAATCGTGTTCCTATAAAGACGCGAGCGACATTCAAAAGTAGCACAGTTACTCAATGAGCTGCGAGGGTTGGGTGGAGTTCTGCGACACTCCCATGATCAGTATGAGTGGGAGCTGTCATAGATAATTTGTGATAATTTTATTTTTCGTTGACAGAGGAATGCACGTGTTTCATAATTCACGTACTACGGTCCTGAAATTAATGTCTTATTGTTTGGGGTTTCGTTGTCACATCTATTATGGCCATATATTGCTGGTGCTCCTCTCGGTATATGGCTGCCTTTGCCCTTACGCTTGCCTCTCTTTCTATATCTCTTCTATTCTTGGTTGCCTCGGCCTTATCTTTGCATTGCCATTATTTTTTATTGAACAGTTGGCACAAGTTTGATCGATGATGCCGTTCATCAGTTTCTTAGCAAAATTTTGTATTGTAAATAAACTAATTTGTTTCTGTTTGGGATTACTTGTCAATTCTTCAATTTGTAGCATTGATAATTTTTGTTTATTTAATTTGTTGTATTATTTTTTCTTTTATATACTGCGGCTAAAAGCTACATCTGTCTTAACTTATAAGATCGCAGTGCGGTAAACTGTCTGCGTTACCGTGATTTCTGCAATACATTCAATCGCTTGAAAGTTTGCGTGCCGAGTCCGCCGAGTTTTTTTGCGTTGGGTTAGCGAGTCATACCATGGCGCAGTGATGGCGAGCCTTCAGCGGCTCTGTGTTAGAATTTGGCTCTTCGAATTCACGACAATTCATCATTGGAGTCGGTCGATTAATGACCCCGTCGTTTGAGTGCACAACAACAGCCTAACATGCATTATTAGTTACAACCTACAAATAATGTTCGTTTTTTCGACCCGAGTATTGAACTCGTACCGCCTTACGTAAATAGTGAGATTCGTCTCGCCCGCGCAGTGATGTCTTTATCTTCGCAGTTACATTGCAATAGACCGTTTTTGTTTGTACATCTGGATGCGCAGCTATGCAGCTCCTGATAGGCCGACTAGCCGCCACCCACATCAACACGATCATTTTATTGGTAACTTTTTTTCCATTCTTTTTGAGAAAAAAATCGTTGCGCTACTTAGTACATAATTTTTTCGCATTGAAATTAAAAAAGTACCGACTTTTTTCAACTTCATAGCAGTTTTTTCCGTGCTTTTATGTGCTGTCTTTTCAATACACATTATGATATAGAAATACCGAGAGCTTCTGTAACGCATTTGCGGTGCAGAATTTGTTGCGACTGTTGAAGAATTTAACACTCTTCTTGGCGACGACATTGGAGGACGGCATGGAAAGAAAATAATGCCGTGTAATGTGTGTTTTATGATCGTATGTGCTGTGTTTTGTAGCGCATCTTACGAAATAGAAACAGAACACTAGGAAAACCAAGCATGAATCTAGATAATGAATACTTGGAACTTGAGTGGAAGGACTATGGTGAGGTGAAAGGTAGACATGCGCTGTCAATACATTTAGTATCGTACAATGACTCGCTTCACACACTTCATGGAGCGTTGTTAACTATACATTTTTTTTAAATCTTACTATTAATTAGAACTGAAGCTTTTGCTTGATGATATTCAATTATTGTTCTAGTTGCACTTTTATATATAGACTTGACCAAAGATTTGTGCTGTCCTCCAAGTCTAATTTACCAGGTGCATGCCTGACTTTTTTGTACGCATTTAATATACTTAATTTTCATTTATGCTTGTTTTCTGATTATATTATTGTTTCATTTTGTCTAGATGCTTAGTTGACGTGTTAATTTGTTTCCCGAAGCGCCTTTGTTGAATGTAGATCGTGATTTATTTTTGAGAATTGTATTCTAAATATTTTGTGAACTTTTATTCCTTCTCATGTTTCCTCCACGAAATCAGTATCGCGGCAATGAAATAGCGAGAAGTTGAATCTGTGTTTAATGTCCGCAGGGCTCATCAGTAAATTAGCATTGCAGTTCTCTAGCAAACTTTTCCTTGTTTTTCTGCAACCTTAGCGAAGAATCTGTTTTCAAAGTGCATATTTCATCCATGAGTGCCTATCCTCGTACATGGCACTGCGGTCATGAAGCGCATCTCGATTGGGGTCGATCTCTTGTTTCTGGGTTCGATCATTTATCTACCTCTGACCACATTACATGATCTTTTTCTAATGTAATCAGGCATTGATTTCTGCCTGACGAGCTTTTAAATGATATCCGCTCTTCTATAGTGTCCAGCATTAGAAAATATTTGTTCACGGAATGATTATTTGAGGTATCGCATGAATGTGACCTGGCGATAAATTTTTGTAAACCATTCGCAAATTTTCGTAACGAGAACATATTAAAGAGCGTTTGAAAAATTGTTGTGTTGGACTAGCATGAAGCTTCGGCGCCATGCCCCATTCAAGATGAAAGTTTTCGTTTCATTGTAATTTTTCGCATGGTTTTTTGTTGAGTTCTTTGTAGCCGCGTGTAATGCGTCGCCTTATTCATTTGTTATTTTCAGAGTTGAGTTGAGTACCGAATAAGATCCACATTGATGACAGCGTTTATCGTCTTATTTGTATTGTTTTAAGTGGAAAAATGTAAATCTACCATTATTTACCTTAGTGTTAAAACACCGTCGCAGTGCAAGTTGCACTCATTTTATTCATCAACAAGTGTTACACGCAATTTACGTGAGTCGAGTTAAAGAAATAAGCTGTACGTAGACGTACCACTAAGTTGCTTATGTATATTGTGGTAGATAATAGAATTTATCCGACAGTCCAGTCTGTGTCTTCGTTGGTATGAACGCCATTTACGTGGTTTTCAGGTGGTGGTGGAAGAGGAGCTTGGCCAGGATGCAACTTTACCGTCTCCATCATCCACTTGTTCCACCACCACCTCAACTACCACCACAACTACTTATACCACTACCAATGCTACTTCTATATCTGCCAAAACATCCACCAACACTGTAACCACGTCCACTGAGGTTGCCCAGCTTGCACCTTCCCTCAGTGACGACACAACTGTCCCGCCATCTTCATCTATCGCACATGGCTCAGCATATTTTATTGTCGATAGCTTCACTCCCGATGATCACAGCTGCTCTCCTCCTCGCCCCATTTCGCCGACTGCAGCGGAACAGTCCACCCTTTCTGAGGCAGGAAAATCAAACACGGGCATCGGTCTCGATGTACATTTATGCGGAGATGCGGTAAATGCTGAAACCAAAGTAGCATTGCATCGAAATTCATTGTCAAGTGAAGGCTCTGTTTCTAGCCAAGCAATAGCACCAAAATTAGAAGATTCCAGAGCGTCTTCTCCCATTCTTTTTAACTCATGTGTTCCTGTTCATGAAAAAGTTACTACAGAAGTAGGGTTTGAAATTTGTGGGAGTAACGATCTGGCAAATTCGTGCAGTTCTGCCAGCGAGACTAAAATTAATTCTGCTGAATATTCCACTGTTGTTTCTAACGCAGTGGAATATTCAGTGGAATTTTCCACTAACGCAGAAACTGAGATAACGCTGCCCGAACAGAAAAATATTGAAAATACTTCTTTATCTGCTGCAAGCGATGACTTGGTCAGCAAGCATCCATATTCTAACACGAGATTACCATCGGACCGCGCTAGTCGCATTCTAGCTGCACTTCCAAATGTCTCGATATCTGCCGTTCCGAGAAACGGAACGCCTGAGAACGGCATGAACGATGCCATCGAGCCAGCCGGAGCGGACGCTAACGCAGAGATGACATCTATTGATGTCGCTGGTGACGTAGCATTCTCGTCCTCTAATGAAATCGATGAAAACTTGACGCTAGCCAATGCAACAACCACCCATGCTTTTAACACAGGCACTGCAGTGACGTCACAGTCTTCATCTAGTCCTACTGATGAACCAGAAATCCGGGCGTCTGATACGAACGTGCCAAATGACTTCGGCTCATCCAGTATGGCGTTCAAGTTGAAAAATTCCACTTCTGTTTCCCTCTCGGTTGTCTCTGCGACGACCAACAACGAGCTACCCTCAACCCGCGGTGCAAAATCACCTCCCTCTGATAACAGCTCATCAGCTGCGCTCGCCTTGATGTCGTCGCCTACCGATTCATCCGATAAGAGAGATGCGCTGAAGGCACGACTCGGCACAGACGGTTAT